CTGAGGCCGATCCATAGTGTCTTGGTGTTTGATATTACATCTGGAATATATATATACTATATATAAAAATAAAAACCATCCATTTGGCAACCTGTTCGATGTCTCACAATATTCCAGTAATTATAATTTTGGTCTTCGATAAACACATATATAGATATAGCTATAAAACTCTGCCGTTCAAGATCGTCCACGTGGAGCGAGGGGAGGCGGCGGCGGCCGAGATTCAAGTGAGTGGACAGCGTCACCAGCGGAAACCAACTGGTTCCTCGCGTCGGTTTGAAAACTGAATCAGAACAAAGACAACTAAATAAAATAAAATAAGAAAAGGCAGTTTGGTTGGTGGAAGAGTTAGAGTCCACTGTCCGCAGCTTCCTGACCTGCGCTCGCTCTGCTGCTGCTGCTGCTGCTTTGTGCTTCACCGCAGACAAGTTCAAATAAAAACCTGAAAATGGTTAAAGATGAAACGAAGAGGAGCTGGAGCGGCGGAGCTGGAGGTCGTTGCCGAGCGTGTGAGATATAAGCGGCTTTCCCTGACGACGAAGATGTACAGTGCCTTGGTTTTTGTGATCTTGAAGACAGCATAACGAGGGGTTTATATTTGTTTATAACAAGGGAAGAGTCAGAGTCTGGTTTGGTGTTTTGGCTCTCTGAGGGGTCAAAGGTCGCTTCAGGCCTCCGCTGCTTTCCTCTTAGAGCCCTTTGTTTTGGCCTCGGCTCCGTCTGCCTTCCTGGAGCCTTTAGGGGGACGACCGGTGACGGCGGCGGCGGTGGTGGTGGCGGTCGATGCCTCCGAGTTGATGCCCTGGTCCTGGTTGTCTGTTCCCTCCAGCTCCTCGTGCTCCAAACAGCACAGCTGCCCTGTGGGAGGCCACGGGCGCAGCGCCCCCTCCTGGTGAGCCTTGCAGAAGGAGTTTGGGCACAGCTGACAGAAAGCGTCCGAGTTTTTCCCGCAGACGTCACAATGGTGCCAGGGGCAGTCCCAGCGGCCTGCAGGGAGGAGGACAGAGACCATAAGTTAAGAACATACGACTTTGACAAACGATTATCGTCATCATCCATGAATCAGCTGATTATTAGTCATTAAAGTAACAAAGAGTCTGAAAACCCAAAGTTAATGAATTTACTCTCACGTTATAAAGAAAAGCAGCTAAAACCAGATTTATAATAAAGAAAACTATTAAAATAGTAACTGCTCCATTTTTTGGTCAATCTTCTAAAAACAAACTAAAATTCCTTGAATTCCTAAAAATGAAAATGTTGTAATTTTACCTTTGAGTAAGTATTTAACTAAAAACATCCTGTGAACAAGTGATTCCTGATCTGTTCATCTTCACTTAACAAAGAAATTAAAATGACTCTCCGGCCGTGTTCCCGGTTAAAGGCGGTTACTACCCGTGTTAATAATCTACGTGGCGGCAGCGCGTCAGGCGTCTCTTACCGAAGGGTCTCTTGGTGAGGTTCAGGCAGGACAGGTGATAAGCTTTGGTGCAGATCTTCTTGCCGCAGAGCACCAGCTGACCTCCGTCTCCGCAGCGGAAACACTCGTCCTCGGACTTTTTCTTTCCCTCGCTTTTCCTCTTCTTATACTTTCTCTTCAACCTCTTTGCTTTTGGCTCGGCTGTTTGGCCGTTGGAGTTCTGTGGATCAGATGGAATCGACGTGAGCAAGAACAAACTTCTGCATCTCTATAAAAATACATAAACATTCTTTAATTAAGGCCGTAATTATTCTGTGATTAGACTTTCACTGGACCTGGTCGTTTGGAAATTGCAGCTCTGATAACAAAGCTCACCTTAGGACGATCACCGAGGAAACCGCTGCAGTTCGGGGCGTCACAGCGACAGACGGTCTTCTCGTTGCCGAGGCAGTCCAGGTTGTAGTTGAAGGTCAACTCGGTCCCTGTGAACAAGAGAAATTATAAAATAAAACAAAAGGATTTTCTTTTCTTTTTTTTACATAAAACATGATCGCACATCTTTTCTGCATCGTTCATTCTGTGAAATTAAAAGTTTTCATATCAGCGAACATAAACATTGATTTACAAATGATTCTTCAGAATGAGTAACAGGAGCCTGTGGATAAATAAATGAATCCTCCTGATCGTCACTTTGTGGCTCGTCTCACCTGCTGGGATGTCGCGGACAGCGAACAGGCCGACTCGCGTGTCGCCGTTCACCGTCCACTTTTGCGTCTCACAGTTGGGCTGACAGCTGTGGTTCATGAAGCGAGAGTAGTTTCCCTTTGGTCCCGCGTCGATGATCCGATCCTTGAAAAACCAAAAGATGGAGTTAGTTCACTTTACTTATCAATGATTCATTACACGATTAAAACCTGAGATGTTCTGTTACCACAGCATCAACATTCAGATATTTCAATTAGGACCAAGAGCAGATCCTCAGATATTTGTCGTACTGAATTCTGTAATTTTCGTTTTCTGTGACGTAACATTCCCGATGCAACATCAAGTCACTGCTTTAGCTCCCAGAGGAAACAGAACTCCTCATAGCACCGGGATTAAGAGCAACATGTGGCGGGTGCTGACCTTGTCGATGGTGAGCATGTAGAAGTCAGTGATGTTGTTTTCGTGGGCGTACTTGATCCTCGCCCTGCACTCCTCCTCGTCGATCAGCTCGCCAATATACTCGTTCACAAACTCGCCCTGTTGGAGACGAGCAACCATCAGAACACGTTCACACCTTTTTAATTATTTGATCAGGAGAAGAATCAGAATTTAAAATCAAAACTGCAGAAATGTTTCCTAAATATGAAAATGATAAATTAGATATTTTTGTAACCCAGTAAAAAAAAAAGTGGGATATTCTACTTTTCATCTGGTCGAGAAATTCAACAATAGTAAAAATATTTTTTCCATTAGAGAGTTTAAATTTCTTCTCACTTGTTTCAGGTTCTTATTTTAAGTGACACATGAAAAACTGAAATACTAACTTTTGTTTTATAAATCAAAACACACACATGGAGGACATGTCCTGCGTTTCCCTCCCTCTCACCTTCTTGATGTCCCGCAGGGCGACCAGGCCCCAGCCCTTCCCGGGTGTCTTGATGATCTTGGTCTCGGGGTAAAGACGTTTGGTGAAGTCCTGGTTACAGCAACGCTCGCCGTTGGGACACACCTGAGGGTGGCACTCGTACTGCAGCATGCGGTTCAGACACTCGGACTCGAACCCGCACGGCCTCTCGTCCGTCGGCTTACAGTTGCACTTGGGGATCTCGGAGATGTCTGCGGTGTAGACCTGAACTTTGCCGAAGGGTTTGTTGACCTGTCGGAGAAAGAGGATTTAGTGAAACATCAATAACAGTGAATTTTCTAGAATTTTTCAATTCTAGAAAAAGATCAAAATAAATTAATAGTTTTATCAGTAAAATCTTCAAACTTCAACAGAGACAGAAACACAGGACGTCCCACCTTGATAAACTTGTATGGCGGCGGTTTTCGACTGTTCTCTTGAGCTTCCTTTGCCTCTCGTTTCATTTTGATCTCCTTGAATCGAGCTTCAGCCTCCAACAGAGCTGAGGAAACAAAAAAAACGTAAAAAATCAGATTTCATCTCATCTGTGGAAACATTGATGGAGAAACAACCTCCTCCATGAGTTTCATTGACTAGAGAACTGATTTAGAAGCTCTACCGTTCTTAAAGACTTTTCCGATTCCCGTCCTCTGGTGCTTGCTGCCTCGGTCTCCCTCCATGTAGGGAAACACTCGGCCCTGGTGAGTCCAGAAGTAATCCTTGGATCCGAAAAAGAAGACAGGAAACTCTCCGATCTCATGGCGAAGGTGCTGGATGTTGGTAGGGATGTTCCTCGGGTGATAGATCTCAGCAGGCCACCACCTGAGGAGAAGACGCAGCAGAATGAGATGTTGAGGCTACAGAATATTTTGGAATCAGTCGTCTTAAAAACTAACAACAACTTCTATCACCTGTATGTTCCTAGTTTGACCCAGATGATGTCCCTGTACTTGGGTTTCTTCCCGGCTCTGCAGTCATTGCAGAACCAGCTCCCATCAGGCATTGCGATGTTCAGACAGTCGGGGTGAAAAGCTGCGGGACAGGACTCGCAGCACAGCAGCTGTCCCCCTGCAACACAGGGAGAAATCCCATTAAACCTGGAAGACGTTATTGATGGGTGGGACATTACGAGTCAGCAGCAGTAAAACTATCGAGTGATTTACACTGGAGTCTGCTGCACGATGGTGATAAACACAAACAAGTGTAAATGTGTAGTCACATACACAATCATCCCTCGCAGTGTTTTTGTTTGTGTGTTGCATTTCAGTATCACGAGACACTAATTAAAAAAACTGTCTCTGGAGAAAAGGCTTTTATTTTTTAAATGAAAACTGACTCAGGAACTGTTCAGTGTTTCTCCAGTTCATCTTCAGTACTGTTTGCTGTGCTAAGATGATTTCCCAACAACACGTAACGGACATTAAGGAGATGTTATTCATATTTAAACAACACTATGCTGCTGTAGAAGGAAATCTACAACCTGTTAACTTCACATAACTCTTTCTGTAAAGCGATTCAGTCATAAACAGTAGGGACTGTGGCAGTGTTTGACAGAACTGGTCCAATTTGATCTGTTAAACTACTAAAAGAAATAAACTTATGAATCAAACATCAACATTCAAGCATTTAAAAAAAAGCAGAGGCACAATTAAACACTGCATTATCGCCACGGTCAGATTTTTCTCTCACTCATCGCTCGTTCAGTATAAATGTAATAGATGTAACTTGGTTATAGCAGAACTATAGAGACTGTTGTGGTTACATGCCTGGTTGGACAAGTAGTTAATATATTATTATGTAGCTGCCGGTGATAAATTAAAAAAAAAAAAGTAGACTCAAACCTTTGGAGCAGACGAAACACCAGCTGACGTTGACGTGACTGTGGTGGCTGTAGCCCTTCTTGGCGTTGAAGTGGTTGGTGCAGATGATGGCGGTGTTGGTGATCATCTCACTGCCGGCTGCCACGCACAGGTCACCGATGTGGTACGCCACCGGGCAGCGCAGGCAACGCATTAACCTACCTGCGACACGGAGAGCGAGACAAAGAGGTTACACGGACACAAGAGCACATCACAGAGAAAACCTGGTTACCGAAGCACTTCTGGATGGACTCCTTATGAATGAAGGAAGTCTACGCAATGTTGTCAACAGATCAAATATCGTAAACGCAACCGATGACAGAAGAAACAAAGAGAAACCGCCTACGAGTTCAAGGCTGCAGAGAAGTTCTTGAAGTGTTTGCTCACAGCAGCGTGGAAGAAAAACTTTCTACAAGTCCATTATATTTCATAAGATCACCTCTTTCTCATTTCATGCTTCAAGCAACACGGTCAATGGTCAGACCCTCTGCTGAAACTTTATACGTCAAGTCCACATTCAGTAGGTGACCTTGAGCAGAATATTTCTCTGATGCTTCTACTGTGACTGACGTACATTTGATTTCTCTTGATCAGTCCCCAAATGAAAAGGAATCTGTAAACAATAGCGTGCAGTGTTTGACGTCCTCACCCTTGGTGGACTTGTGCTTGGCGCGGCAGCCGTAGTGGCAGCTCAGGCAGGTGTGGAGTGGGCAGCGGAAGCCCTTGTTGTCGAACAGAGTGAGGGGGTTGAGGCGGACGCACCCCTCGTGGTAAAACTTGCCGCAGTGCAGGACGTGGCAGCGAAGCAGCTTGCCCTCTGACTGCTTACAGGTGAAACACGAGTGAATTCCTGAGAAGAGCGGTGAGGAGGGAAATGAAATGTAAAGCAGCAGCAAGAATGATTGATTGATTCATGTTGTGTTACAGTAACGAGCCGGTGGCCGTTTCTCAGACTGAATGTGAAGTTCTCACCTGTGCTGCACTCCTGACACAGCAGCTTGTCGTCGGGTTTGAAGGACAGACCCAGACAGTGGAGGTGAAACATGCCACAACATTGTCCCTCACAGGGCAGCAGGTCCTCACCAGCCTGCTCACACATCTGTAGGGACAAACGAACAAGGACACGTCAAAACATGACGATGCCGAGAACGAGAGGAATGATATCACACAATAACAGTACATGGATATAAAAAGAATTATGGCAACTTGATTCAAAATAAACTTTTCTGCTCAGTTAAATGGGAAACACATCTTACTAATGAATGTGTCTTTTGTAACTTTACCGTTTGAATTAAAATCATGAAAAGTCAAATACTGAAAACACAGATCACGACAGAGACGCTTTATTCTTAACCAGCTGCTCCTTTTTAAATATCTTTGTGCAGCCATCACAGGTGTATTCTGATGCAACTGATGTTTTACCATCTGAACAGACCTACCTGGCAGACAAATTCTTTCTTCCGTTCGCCCTTTTTTGTCCCGTCCAAGCTGTCGCTCGGAGAATCAGGACGCCCTTCGCTCCCAGAGCCCTGAAACAAACAGCGTGTGAGGAACTTTGTACAAGACGATGGGGTCTGAACAGCACATGAACAGTTTCTTTCATTTGTGCTTCATGGAGGAAACTGATCTGCTACTGTGGCATTTTTACAATAAGAGTTCTGTCAACAAGCGGGAAAAGAAGCGGAGCATTTTAAAGAAACCTACAGTTCTGTTCTCTAATGCTTGAGGACTTGGAACGTTGATAATAAGCTTGTGTAAGGTAAGATAAGACAAAAACCCCCCAGAGGTCATTTCCTCTCACCTCGGGGTCAGGACACGGGGAGGCCCTTCTCTTCTTCGTCTTGGCAGGTGTGGCCTGGTTCTCTCCATCCTGTTTCCTTTTCCTCCTGCGCTTTGGTTTCTCTGCCTCTTGATCATCTGCGCACAGTCAAGATGTTCAAACTATAATTAGCAGATGCTGCAGCGGCCACGAAGAGGTCACTAAGAAGAGTGAGGCCACAGAACAAAGCACAGAGGTGTGAACGTTAAAGAGGCGTTCGGCGCTGTAGCTTGTCGAGAGTGAGTTGTTTACCAGCCAGAGGATCTTTTGACTTTTTCTGTCGTCTCTTGGTTTCTTTCACTTCTACGTCAGTTTTCTTCGTTCTTCTTCGCTTTTTTTCCGTTCCTTCTGAAGTCGAGGCCTGAGGACGTAAAATCTTGTTCAGCGTAGACATAATAAACAAGGAAATCCAAACGCTCAAACAGTCTTTTGTATCCATTGTGATTGTCAGCCATTGATTCAAAAAGCAAATAATTGAATATCTGAGTGAGGTTTTTTTTTAATGTCATCCATTACTTTTCAAGAACAAGTGAAGTTTTGTATCCGACGAGATCAAACAACATTTACACAAACCTGTTTTTCAGCATCTTTGCTCATTTTGCGTCTCTTAGGCTGCTGATCCTTGTCCGCTGCGGAGTCCATTAGCTTCCTTTTAGGCGTCTTCTTTGGCTCCTTCTTAACTGGAGACAGTCGAGAAGAAAAATATTAATCATCTTAATTTGGTTGAGAATCAGACAATTTTTATATTAGTTCTAACAACATATTCAGGGTTTTTCCTCAGGTGGCTTTTAGAGCCCGGGTCGATTTAAAAGCTTTTCCACACCATGAAGAAAAACAAAAGATAAAGTGTCACACTCAGCTTAGCTTCAGAAAGAAACAGATCTGTCTCCTGAGCTTCGGTTCACTTACATAAGACCAGCTCCACCTTTGTGTTTTAGAATCACAGCATAAAAGAAATTTCTGGCAAATGACTGACCTGAAGAATCGGTCGTCTGCTCTGCAGGAGTCTCTCTCTTTCGCCTTCTCTTCACTTTGTCAACTACAACAACAAAAAGGCTCTTTTCAAATTAAATTAATTTGACACGTCCCCATGATTAATCACTTTTCTCACATTCAAGCACAGATGAGAATAAAAACAAGTGTTACAAGTACTGTTATTAAAAGTGATTATCAAAGCAAATGGGAAACAGCATTATGGATAAATTCTGTGTCTCTAAAGCTTCAGTGCTCTTAAGTACAGCTTTCCTGGGTCTCGCGTTCTCACATCATGAATTTCCCCTTGCTCACCAATCAGGAATGAAAACTCTTGAACACACAGGCCACATTTAGTGATGAATTCTACAACAATCCGCCCACATCACTACTTTATTGGCCACATATGGCAATTTAAAGCATGAGATAAAAACACAGACCAGCCGAGAACGGATTTAACCAACGCTTGATTGATGGCGAGAGTTGATCCGCCACCCGGGTTTTAACTTTCAACCAACCTGGAACTGAAACTGGGGGCGAGACATGTTCTGAAGAATCATCTGTTGGAGACACCAGCTTTGATTTCCTTTTCCTCACGGGGTCGGAAGATTTCTCCACTGCAGATTTTTTCCGTCTCCTCACCGTCTTGGTTGGAGACGGCGTCTGTTTGGGTCGTCTCTTTTTCTTCTGAGGTACGACTGGATTATCTGGTTCAGAAGAAATGGGACCCTGCAAGGAAAACAGATGAACTTCATGATGCCATCCACTGTTTAAGATCTGCTCAGGCTGTTAAAGTGTGATCATAGTTTGATTTTATTAGAGTTTTATAAATGTTTTACTCCAATGTTCTTAGTATTTTCTAGATTTCTTTGCAGAATTTACAAATATTTGATTATATTCCAAATTAAAACATATAGACTCTGTTCATAACCTGGTATTAACTTGCGTCTTGACTTAAACCACAAGTGGACAGGTTTCAGTACGTCAGCTCAAGCTTCTCCATGTGTCTCAATTGACATATTAAAATATTACATTTATGATTCATAGATTTTCCTACTTTCCAAAATTCAAGCTCTGCAAAAAATATAAATAAATGTTTTTGTTGATAAATTATTCATCCGGACAATAGCCAAAGTAGAAAGACCCACAACTCTCTGATGTCACTTTCTCCATTGTGATGATCTGCCACTTTTCTTATCGTTAGTTTCAGCCTGAGTAGGAAACCTGCAACAAGGTTCTCTAACATAATCTGCAAGAAAGCAGCTTAAAAAATATGTATGAAACAACAACATCTGTGGGTATTTACCAGCACGGAGGGCAGATCTGGGCTCAGACGTGATACGGTTTCCTGGTGCATCTGGTCGCAGAGTTTTGGCTTCAGTTTCTCCAGGATCTGTGGGTTCAGACGAGGCCCGTCGTCATCATACTGAAATGTGAAGTTCATCATGCGCTCATCCAGCGACATGCTGAAGGCCTCCTTGGCCTGAATGATGCCCATGTTCCACTGGGCCTGGAGTTTGCGGGGTACAGATGGAGCCGTCTGCAGGACACAGAGAAAGCAACAGGGTTACACGACAAGTTACTGTGATGGCTGAAGAAAAGATTCAGCGCTGGTCCTTCTGAGATCTAATTCGGCACCTGCATCTGGACACCTCACGTATATGATGTCTTGTCATTGTGTTCCCTTCAACAGATATTTGTTTTTACACTGTGGGCTATATTTAGAAACAAGATTACAAAATTGACGAAGCATGAGGAAGCTGTGCGAGAGACGATTTGCCAACAAACATGTAAAGACTTGTACAATTAGTACAAGTAAGATTCGTTAACTTGTTGGTGAAAAGCAGCAAAAACTTATAAAACTGGCTGATAGAAATACAAAGTAAAAAAAATTTGATTGAGGAGAGAGAACATCCCCCATAGAGACAATAAGGAAGAAAAGATTTTTACCTTTTTGTGAATGTTGCAGGAGGCTGCCTGTTTGTTGCCCAGGCTGAGCTCCTGGAATTGATCCTCTCCAGTGAACGACACCATGTTCTTCTCAAAGATGTAGCCTCTCTCCGGGGCATCTCCAAAATACTGCACATGGTAAAGGAGGCCTGACCTGCTATTGGCTGCTAAAAACAAAACAAACCAGAAATATTGATTTAAATATTGGTATAAAAATAGAAATCTTGCCCACATACTAGCACAGACAATAACAGTGGTCATAATGTGCTTGTGACCAGATTGTTTAATTTCACAACAAATCACTTGAGTTTGAATGAAGCGGGTGGTTGTGAGCGGAACTCACCTTTCTGTTTGAAGTGATGGCTGAATTCTGGGTCTGTGGTCACCATGCAAGGCCACCAGGGGTAACCCGACACCTTCGTCCAAACCAAATCACCAACAGCAAAGCGGATCAGAAAAGTAGACTTTGCTGTAGCCACCACCCTGACCTCTGGGATGAGATTGAGCTGGAGAAGAGAAAGAAGAAAAAGTCCATCAACAGATAAGAATTTAAATAAATCAAGTTTCATTTCCACGTCTAAAATAAAAAAAAATTTTAACATGCTTTCTTGGACACAGGGATTTTTCTCTTTCGGGGAGACTCTGCAGCCCGACATTTACTTGCAAATCATTTTCTAAATCTATGAAATCCCTTTTTTAGCACAAGTCATTATGAAATCTATTAGCTGGACATACTGCAGTTTATTGTAATGTATTACAACACGCAAATACAAATTCTAGCTTTTAATCAAAATGAGGTAAAAAAAGAAAAACCTTGTCAGCTGCTCCGGTTCCATCTGCAGCATTTGTGTGGTCCGCTTGCTCCAGAGGGATGAAAGAGGAGCTGTGGTTTAATTGAAGTTTTGGTTTGACAGGTCTCCCCCCCCTTTTCTTCACGTCCTGCCTCTTCTCGGGTCCAGATATTGTACCGTCGGTGGCGGTGGCCAAACTGGTCCCGTTGGCACAGCACGGTTCAAAGGGCGGCTGCTCTACCACCTGGGGCACTGTCACCTTCAGTTCAGATTCTGTATGAGGGGTGCAATTGTGCTGGTGGGTGCCGTTGGTGGCAGGGGCCTCAGCACCCTTCAGCATGGGAGGATCTGGAGCACAAAGCTTGGGCAGCGTGTCTTGGTCCCCGTTCAGCACACGGGAGGTGAGGTCTTTGAGCCTCTCGTGGTTGTTATGACTGTGGCCGGCCATCTTCTGGAGGACGCCGTCTTGTAGCGTGGCGGCCAGCTGGGCAGCAGCTTTGTCCATAAGCAGAGCAGGGTCACTGCTCATGTCCCCCCGACCTTTGCGTACGCTGAGGGACTCCGGCGGCTGCTTCATGCTGATGGGGTTGGCTGGTTCGGGCATGGAAGGCAGAGAGCTACCTTTAGTGTCCATCCCACCTCACCCCCTCCAGGCTCACTGAGCTGCACAACAGGGGACAGAGAAACTTCTCATTCCACAGGTTCAGTCACAAATCATTACCATCAGGCCACTTTTTCCACACTCTTCCTTTTTCCAATTCCTAAAGTGGGATTCTCGGATGTGAACTCTCTGATCACAACGTTACACATTCTACAAAATGGCAGAGAGAGCTGCACCTGTCACATAATGCTCCAGCTTGGGTGTTTTGCACGAGACAGTCTGAAACCACAATGGAACCGTGCAGTGAAACAACACTTGAAGCCTCAAACTTGCGTGAATGAGGTGAACCCGACCGAATCCAATGCACACGAACAAAACCTACCAGGCGGTAGGTGGAAAGCATCTTACCGGGACTAGTGGCCTCTCTCCCGGATAAAGGACTAGCTAGCTGCTAGCTGCAGACTGCGGTGGAGGAGAAAGCAGCCTGCAGCCTCCAGCGCATGCAGCGAATACCCGATGAGTGGGTGGCCGCGTAATCACCGCATCACCGGCGAGGAAAGCCGCGGAAATGGAAGCAGCTGACAAGTCGGTGTAAAGCTACTGGCGTGAGGATAATTGCTGGACTGACCCGGTCCATCCTGCTTGAGATAAAAGCTCACACGGTGCACGGCGATTCGTGTTGTGTTACTCGATTTAGTCGCATCGCATCAACAACACGGTTGAACTTATCCCCCCCCACCACCACCGACATGAGCATCTCGAACTACTCAGCTCACCGACACATCCACCTCGCCAGCGGCCGCCCCGTAATGTCACGCATGAAATGGGCTCCGACTATAATCTGAAGCGGAAGCCACGATGTGCGGGGATTCCAGCTGCGGACAAGCGTTCAGCCCGAACTGCGTCTCCCCCCCTCACCGCATCTCTGTCAGAGCTCCAGTCAGCCATTACGCCGCATTCCAGCAAATAGACAAAGCCGCCACTCGAACGCTAAATCCACTGAACCCACCCGCTAACTACCCTGCTAGCTTGAAGCTACTGGGTCGATAAATCACCGGGACGATCGCCGTGTGTCTGCGGCGGCTTGTTCGAAGTGTTTTCCTATTGTTTCACTAATATGCTCAGTTTGTAGGCGCCATGACAGCTCGTTTCAAAAAAAGGGCTAACCGTGCTAGCCAAAGCTAACCACCGTTCCATTGAAGCCCAGTCAAACTGCACTCTCAACGTTAGCACGGGTAGCTAGCTCGCTAGCTAGCAGCTCCTCTCTCGCTAAAATGGATGATGGGCCCGGACAAGTGTAGCCGAGCGGACCCTTGCCGGCTAAGAGCCCCGGGGGCTGACGGCCCCATGACGGTTGGTGTGCGGTTACCTGTCGAGGTCCTGTCGGTGGTTAGAGGGAGAAAGTGTCCGGACTCATCCCGTCACACGGAGCCTTTCATTCAGGTCGAGGCTGAAGCAGCTTGCGGGAAAATCAAACACTGCGGCCAACAGCGCGAAAAATACTCACTTCCGATTGGTCGGGAGCGAAGCGAGGATCCAACCGGTCCGTTCAAAAAACCAACCGCAGGAAGTGAGAGGCCCGGAGAGTCTTCATCATCTTCATCATCTTTATCATCTTCCTCATCAGCTTCATCATCTTTATCATCATATTTATCAGCATCTTCATCATCTTCTTCATCATCATCTTCATCACCATCTTCATCATCTTCTTCATCATCTTCTTCATCATATCCATCATCATATTTATCATCTTCTTCCTCTTCATCATCTTTATCATCTTCCTCATCATCTTCATCATCTTTATCATCATC